TTTGACGTTGGTGTTTCTATGGTAACTGGTGATGATGTCATTGACCTTAGTAACGATGTTGTTTTGTTTTAGCAACTGAATTAATCAGTAGTTCTAGAGTGTTTTTGAGCAAGTATTCTGCTGTATTTACCAACTTGAAATAATAATTATTATACATTGTATCCACACTGTGAAATCCGATTTTCTAACCAAGTACAGTTTATTTTACAGTTTATTTTTATATTCATGTAAAACTCCCGGTAAATTATCTTGAAATTATTCAAATCTTTTGAAAAAAGAAAAATTCAACTTTTCAAATTGATTTCATTTCATTTCACCTTGATTATTTCAGATATCACAATAACCTCTTCCAATAATTGTTAAATATCACGCCTGAAAGAAAATGCTCCTTTCTGATTGGCTCATAAACGCACGAATAATCTAATCTAGCACGGATCTATCCCGGCGTTCATTGCGGTTTTTTTACCTTTGTTTATCAGAGACTCGCATGTTTTGTGATAAAAATGTTTATCATATGATATCTGTGGAATACCTATATTTAGTATAGGAAATTCCACTTAGGCTCTCGAAGAATAGCCGACTTTAGATATTTTGGTTCACTGAGTGACCATGCACAAAACAATATTGCAGACGAGGCTCCGGGGAAATAAAAGAATAAATCAAGATTAGATTTTTTTAGATTGTTTTCCCAGAGCATAGTGTGCGTTCTTTTGTACATAGTCATCGAACCAAAATATCTAAATGTATTTAATGAAAGTGGTCTATTTCTCGAACGTTGAGATTTCCCATACAAGGACGTTGTGTTACAACGAAAACCATCTAGATAATGTCTTTGACAGTGACCGTCAATTTCTTTTTTCATTTTTGTTGCAGAACTCGACGTAAAAAGGCGTATCATATTTGCTCAAAATGTATTAACTCAAAGAAATGCTATTGAAAATATTTGAACTGAGTTTGTTTCTGCAGGGTCAATGGCGCATCTTGGTCCGAACCGCCATCCAAGCTTTCGACCGTCAAAGCAGAAACAATACAATACAATACAATAAACTTTATTTAAGGAGGGTGACACGGTTAACCCATAGAGTTATCTAACACGTGGCCCTCAAACAAAATACAGATACCGATAAAAAACCATGCCTTTAGCACAAATATTCTGTTATTTAGAACTGTTTATTGTAATGCTTTATAGCTTTCGTCTTCTTTTTGCAGATATCAGAACAATACCAAAGCTGCAGTAATAAGAATTGGTCTTGAAGAAGCCTACGAATTTTCGCGCGTCTTTCTTCCAGGATCCAAGATGGCCACGTTCTTCGAGTCGTGTGGTATCGCTGACTTTATCGTCACGTGTTACGGCGGAAAGCATCGGTTGGTGGGGGAAGCGTTCGTAAAAACCGGAAAGGTAAAGACTCCTTTCGATAACATACTGTTACGGTAAGAATTTTGTTCGCGGTTTCGTGTTACCGAATGTCGGGGTGGACTAGCTTCGGTAGTAGCGACTCGAATTGCAGGGCCCGTAATCTGAACTTTTACCCTACGAGATGGCACGAGACTTGGACACAGAGCACGGAGTAAATTCTGGTTTAACTCTTGGTTTAATCTTCAACACTGGTAGCTAGCGTTCGCTAGGTGGTCTCTAATCTTACAATGTGTTGTAGCTCTATTTATGTGATTACAACTCCTTTGTTTATAGGTCATATTACATAATTGATCACTAAAACTATTACGCGTAAAACTCAAAAACCAATCAATTTGATAACAGCAAAAATATCATAAGATGAGGTAACATACGCAGGAGATAATTGGCTCTAACTAGAAAGTTAAGTAAAGCGTACAACTGGTACAAGTAACTTTTCATCACTTTCGATTCCTGGTCTTAACGCTTGTTTCCAGGTAGTTAACGCTGAGATCAGCGATCCCTACTATCGTGACTAAAATAGTGAATTATAGATTACTTGCAACAGGTGTCTTTTAGAAAAACTCTAGCTTAACCTGCTAGGTAAATATCGTGACACAATGTTTTGCCAATTTCCTAATATTGCCAATTTAAACAATAACTAACTGATTTGTTTCCCTAAACAATTTTGATGAATTTTCCCCCGTTACATTACCCTCACCTTAAGAGCAAAGCCTCCTGGCTGCGAAAAAAGAAATAAGCAAAAACTGAGCACTTTCGTAGCTATCACGGGACGCAACCAAATCCAATACCGGATCAGGCTAATCAAAAGGCCTCCGGGGGTCGCAATAAAAAAAATAACACAATGTCCTTTACCAATAGTACTCGATGGGTTCTAAAGGCTTGAGAATCACTGTGATCTACAAACTAATTGATTCTATAACTTAATTTGCAAAAAGAGGTAATAATTCTAAAATATCTCTAAACTATGATTAAAGTCTATTTGTTTAGCCTAGATCATGGCCGCCATAATGTTCCTTAGACGAGGAGCACCTTGAGATACTATTGAGTGGATGTACATTTCTGTGAAGCAACATATTACCGCGACAGCAGTATCGTTGCCTTGCTCTTCTTTCTTGCGTTCTTCATATTCGGCAATCAGCGAATAATCAAAGATATTCTCCTCCGGTTCCCAGGTGTTTTCACTTGTAGGATAATCTTTCCACTGGATAAGATATTGCGTAACGCCTTTTCGCTTGCGCTTACCAACAATCTTCTCCGCGCGGAAGATAGTTTCGTTATCTATAATATTATCCTCATTGGTTTTTCCTATTTCCTCGTCTTGCCCGTGGAGTTCATTCCCAGGAGCTGGTTCAGCTAATTCTTCATTCTGATCTTGATCCTGGACAGGTTCAAAACTGTCATCAGGCATCTCGTGTTCCTTTAGGTAAGGCTCGTTGAGTACATCAAGTGGAGGTATTCCAATTGGTCGGGCGTCAGGATCGACATAGCGTTTCATGCGATTGACGTGTACGCTAGTAGACATACGGCTATTATCGGGAGTACGAAGTACAAAATGTACCGGAGATAGTTGTTTTACCAAGCGGTATGGCCCGTGCCAGTTGTGTGCCAACTTCTTGGTCAGTCCTTTCTTGACATGAGGTGTGTAGACCCAAACCTTGTCTCCGACCCGGAATTGCGGGTTTCCTGTGTGCTCGTCATAGTATGTTTTCATCTTTTGTTGCGCGCGTTGTATATTCTCTCTGGCGATTTCATGAACGCGCTCGATACTCTTTACAATTCTTTCTCTGTGTTCAGCGACAGAAGCCGACATATTGGTTGGCGGAAGTAAACTGACATCCATTGGTAGGCGTGGCTCTCGTCCRTATAACAGATAGAAGGGAGATTCTCCTGTAACTTCTGATGGCGATACGCGGTATGCAAATAAGACGGTTTGCAAGTGTAGATCCCAGTCGGATTGTTGATCGTTAACATACATAGATAGGCTTTGAGCCAGGGTTCCGTTGAAGCGTTCAACCAATCCGTCCGTCTGCGGGTGATAAGCCGTGGTGTTTACTTTCTCAGTATTAACTAATCGGCACACCTCCTTTACTAGAGTAGATAAGAAGTTAGCTCCTCTATCGGACAATAGTGTTCTGGGTGCGCCATGTCTGGTAATGATCTGCTCGTAAAGCAGTCGGGCAATCGTCGGTGCGTCGGCTGACTCTACACTGAATGCTTCCGGCCATCTGGTCAGATAGTCACTAAAGACGACTATGAATTTATTGCCACTGCCTTTGCATTTTGGCATTGGTCCTAAAACATCGACTGCTAGCTTGTCAAATGCTCCCTCTACTTGCATTGGCATCAGGGGCCCTTGTGTTCGTTGTCTAGGGTTTTTCTTCATCGCGCATGCGACACACGAAGTCACCCAGTGATCGATGTCCGCGTACATCTTCCGCCAATAATAGCGTTCCCGTATCTTTTCATATGTTTTGAACACGCCAAGATGTCCAGAGCTGACGTCGTCATGGCCAAATAACAAAACCTCATGTTTCAGCGCGGCCGGTATAACGAGTTGTCTTCTGGTCGTGCACTTCCTTGGAGTCCACAGGTGATATAGAAGTCCCTCTTTGTCTAAGAAGTAATCATCAACAGTGCGTAGTGCGGCTTTATCCTTTGGTAGGATATCTGACTCCAAATAGTCTATCAGATCGGTTAGGTCCGTATCTGTTCTTTGAAATCGACGTATGCGTTCTGTCTGTGGGCCGGGCGTATCAAAGGCAGCTACCACAGGCGGATAGGGTCGTCGTGATAGTGAATCAGCATTTCCATGTGATGTACCGGCTCGATGTAGTATCTCAAAGTCGTACTCTTCTAAATATAAAGCCCATCTTGCTAAACGGCCGACTGGTTCTCGTAGTTGCATCAGGTATTTAAGGGCGTGGTGATCCGTATGGACTTTAAAATGTCTTCCATAAATATACGAGCGGAAGTGCTTTATTCCAACTATGACAGCTAGACATTC